TCGAGTAAACGCCTCGTAGTCCCAAAGTAAATATGCAGCAGATAACCGAAGGAACAATGAATTTATGGCAAGAAAACTTACAGTTAAAGTTTTCAATTTAAATCAAGGGAAGAAAGTAATTTAACTAAGCATGTTGCACAAATTTGCAAGTAAGGGTTAAGGCACGTAGAAATGCGATACTAGGCTAAACATGATCACTACATATGTTAAGGTAACTCAATTAAGATATTTAAAAGAAGACAATTCAACAAGAATCGAAATTTCCACAATTAGCCNTTAAAAATCGCCCTAAAAAGTCGACCTGGGCCCACGTCTCGAAATTGGGTAAAAGTCACAAAATACGAACACTTATTCGATATCGAGTTCACCCATACCAAAATCACCAAAATTCGACATCATCTCGACCCTTAAATCTTTAAATCAAACTCTCCAAATCCCTAGCCTCAAACTCCCCAATTCCACCTTAAATACACACTAACTAGGTGGAAAAATAAATGGGAAAGCAAGATTATTGATAAAAAATAAGTACAAGGGACTTACCTCATGAAATCCCTCAAAACTGCTCTCAAGAAATCGCCAAACCCGAGCTCAAAATATTTAAAATGAGCAAAAATCGCGAACCCTTGCATTTAAGTGTTTTGTCCAGCATTTCTTGTTTTGCGGTCCAAAATCTGCTTCTGCGCCACTTCTGTGGTGAAGTCTCCGCATCTGCGGAGTTCACTTAAACCCCAGATTCCGCACCTGCGCGCAAATCTCCGCATCTGCGAATGTGCTTCTGCGGTCCCTCGTCCGCTTTTGCGGAAGCCTTGGCCTCCCCAGCACCATCACTCATAGAGTATGCCGCCTTAGGATGCTATTGTCTTGTTTGTGGAGAAGAAGAATGGTTATATGCGGATGTGTATTTATTATAGCCAGTTGAACAAGGCCCACAGTTCGCGGTACTCCATTCATCCAGGTGCCGCGAAGATGTATCAGGATTTGAGACAACACTATTGGAGGAGGGGATGAAGAAGGACATAGTGGAATGGCTCATTTCAATCCAAGTTGCAGTTCTTGGATACTAAAAGGCATACCATGTGCTCATGCAATAGCTACCCTTCACTTCAAAAAGCTGGATTCAATTAACTATGTTGCTCACTGGTATACTAAAGAGACTTACTTGAAAGTGTACAACCATTTAATTCAGCCTGCCTTTAATATGTCAATGTGGCTAGACTCACAAAATGTATATGTTATTCCACCAACAGTCATAAAGATGCCAGGGAGGCCAAACAAAGTTAGAAAAAAAGAGCAAATTGAAAACAAGACAGGTAAGATGTCTAGGAGAGGATCAGAGATGACATATAGAGCATGTAATGAGAAAGGCCATAATAAGAGAGGGTATCATAAGACCAAGGCAGCAGCTTCAACTGCAGCAGCAAGTAGAGCAACAACTGCAGGAGCAAGTGCAACAACTAGTGCAGCACCAAGGGGCAGTTCTAAGTCTATTGCAGCACCAAAAACTGGAAGAGGATGGGGTAGACCAAAAGGTTCTACCAATGAGACAAGGCCCCACAAAAGACCAAAAGTTGTTGGAATGGGGGTACTTCAAACAGAAAGTGGCTACACCATCCTTAATGTAAGGCCTTTTATTACCTTTTGTATATCAAATAAGTGGTATTATTTGTTTAGACAAACAAATAGTATATTTATTTAACTACATGGAATGCCTTCAAGTAGGCCCAGAAATATTATATCTTCAGCAGATGTCACAGGAGATATTGGGCACACACCATCAACTTGAGTAAAGTGGAAAGGAAAAGCAGTAGTAACACAAAGGCAATTCCATTAGATGAGAAGAAAAAAGGTCATCCAAATAAGGTCAAGAGCTGCATAGTTAATTCAAGAAAGCTTCACTACACAGTCCTCACAACCTTGGAAACTTTAGGAATATTTTTTGTACTTTGGTAGTCTATTAGCAGCTGTGATTGCAATGTTTTGTATTACCAACTGTGACTGGTGCAATTATTTGTATTAGCAGCTGTGACTGCAATGTTTTGTATTGGCAGTTGTGACTGCAATATTTTGAGTTAGCAGTTGTGACTGGTGCAATTTTTGTTAGCAGCTGTGACTGGTGCAATTATGCAATCTTTAGTGTTTGCAACTATGACTGCAATATTTAGTATTCTATGACTAATGAATGGTGTTATTAAGGAGCATCAATGACTGCATTTTAACCGTGATTATTGACTGTATTTATGTTATCTTTCTATTAGGAGTTGTCACTATATATTCAATTTCTTTCAATACATTTCAAGGATTCAATATGCTTGAACAAAACAATTTAGAATCAAAACAACCACCAACTTCATTCCAAAAAAGAGAGAGTACATAATACAAAAATGGTTCACCCACATTGATTTGTATCATACACCAACAAGGTTCAACAAAAAGAATGCGGTATAACAAAAAGAGAAACAAAGAGCCTATGGAAACTTCAATTCATCCTCCTTCACTTGAAACCTAGTACTCACACCGATAATTAAATAACATAAAATGATAAACCAAAGAACCTTCTCCCTTTTACTTGATCGGGCAACTTTGCTCCTCCATTTCTTCTCCCTTTCTTTCATCTTCTCCATTTCAGTTTTCAAGTAATCTAGTTGAATGCCTATCTTATCAATCTCATGTTCATCATTCTTTGCTGTTATCAGATTGTCCAGTTTTTCAAAAACTTTAACTTTGGCTCTCAAGTTTTTCAATCTCTTATTTCAATTTAGGAATAACAAACTTTGATCTAGGGTCAATTTCTCCATCCCTCCAACGCCAAAAATCACATGCTCTAGCCCCCTATCATGAATAACAACAAAATTGATATTTCAGAGTTCTATTTCTTGATATCTTAACTTATTTAATCTTGAAAATTAAATCAACTTACCCCATAGTATGGACAAGCTCAATACCTTCTACCGGGATTCCTAGGGATCCAAGAAGTCAACAATGGCAGTAAATATCTATGATTACATCACACTTCTTTAGTAGATGCATGATCGTCCTCTTCCGTACAAAGCCTGCTTAACCTTTTCGAAGCCATTATATACAAAAACTGCAGTTCAAAATACAAGAAAAATAGGAAACAATTAAGTAGAAACAAATAAAATTTAACTCAAATAACAAAAAATTAACTACCTTTGCCTTCAAAAATCGAATCTTGAACGTCCGTTGTTGCTAATTTGGTAGTAAAATTAAATTAGGGTTAGTAAGGTTGGTATGATGTAAGGAGAAATAAGGTGGGTGGGTATTAAATTGGAGAAAAGAGAAATATATTACCGTTAGAGGTTGTAATTAGTGCTTACAATTTTTTTTCTTCATTTTTACGATTAAATAATAAATGCGCCCTTTTGTAGTTAGATACAGCACGCCTAGGAGATGGCTTACAAGGGTGCAGAAAAAATCATTCCTAAGAAGTATATGATGATATTGGGACATCCGTAAAGGTTGGGTGTGAAACTCAGTTATCCGGACAAATTCGGTATGCATTTTATATATTATTCCTTTCCCTAATGAGTGGAAAATATGAAGGGTGGGAGAAAGTAGAAATTAAGGTCATACTATTGAACTTATGCCTAATCAAAATTTAGGGAGACATGAGTACTACAGTTCAAGTTTCATTCAATAAGATAACAGAGTAGTTCAATTATACATCTCTAATTGTCCCAAATACAATTACAAATTATATGTCAACATTAGGTGTATGCTTATTTTAAAATTTTGAGTTTTAAAAAATTAAAAGACTTCTTTCTAATGATGTTTCATTAAAAAATATTGAAATTTTTGTTCAACTTTATGTGAAACAAACGTCACTTAAGAAATTCCTACAAAAAGTCAACAAAAAATAACGCTAAATTACATTTTGGTATGTCAGGGGCATTTTCGTCGAGTACTTCCAACCACAAAGTGTAAAAAAAGTAACATTAGTATGGTAAGTGAAAAAAAAAAAAAAATAGAGGCAAAAAAGTTAAAATCCAAAGTAGAGAATTCGACCTTTTTCATCCCTGTTGTTTCACCTCACTTTTTACTACATCCTTATAATATCTCACTTAACTGAAAACACCTCTTAAGTTTTCCAAACTTAACCAAGAACAACCTTCCGTTATCTTTTCCATCACTTTCTATGAGAGCTTTCTTTTTCTCACGTGCACTTCATGTTTTCCATCGTAGAAAGCTTTTTTGAAATTCTGTATCTGAAGCATTCTTGCATCACAAATGCGTCACATATTTAATTTGTCAAGGTTTGGGCTGGTTATAGAGAACGACTCTTATTTTCATCTGCAGATTGCCAAATTAATTATTCGTGAAATGCTTTACATTTTACAGTCATCCAAAACTAATTTACTCCACTAAGAGATTTATATTCTTATTGAAGAAACTAACTCATTAATAAAACAACAAAAAAGATATTAACTTAAATTATTGAAACTAGAGATCAAATCTCATAGTATTATCATTCCTGCAGGTTCTTGTTGTTCTCCTTCCTTCACTCCCTGTGTTTCTTCCTCCCTCCCCCTCCCCTCCCCCTTCTCCCAAAAAAGAAAATAAAACCTTACTCTCTCTCTTTCATGGGCTAACTTTGCATATGAGGAATCTAGTGATATGGGTTGAATCTGTGAGGTTTTGAACATAAAAAGAAGGAGAAATTTTGGAGAAGGTGTGTTGCTGGTTTGATGTCGGACGACTAATTAGTCAATTATTTCTATTTTTAAAAGAGTTTGCTGGAAATTATCGGGAAAAAAAATGAAGAAGAAGCAATGCACATGAGAAAAAGAAAGCTACGTTAGAAAGTGATGGAAAAGTTAACGGAAGGATGTTCTCGGTTAAGTTTGAAAAACTTAAGGGATGTTTTCAGTTGAATAGGATATTATAAGTATGTAGTGAAAGTTGAGGCTAAACAACAGGGATAAAAAGGTAAAAAACTCATCCAAAGTAAGTCTATCACTGTTTTCTTTTGTGTCTAATAGAGGCTACACTAGTGGTTATCCATTTCTGCAGGCTGAAGCAAACTCTTATAAGCAAACATATATATCTAGGGTTTAAACAGTTGGGGAGCGGGAATTCTAACACTACATTTGACAGGGAAAATGGAGACGTCACTTCGTTATGGCGTGGATTCCAAGAGTCTATTGATTCATGCTAAGGAGAAATTCCCCCTCAACTCCCTCACCCACTTGCAGGTATTTACCATTTACTATTGCTTTAGGAATATAAAGGCAAATAGCTCAATCCAACTAGCTTGTGATTGAGGTGTACTTTATTTATAGTAAAATTGGCTAAAGGTTTTGCTGTATTTGTTTTACATATTTAGATATGAGTATTTCACCCCAGGATAGGTATGCTGAGGTAAAACCTAAGTGAAGAGAGCTTGATGTGTCATTTTAAGCTGTTTTGGTTCCTTTTTTATTTTTTATTTTTTAATTTTTTACCCAATCCTGTTTATTAGTAGCTTTTTGAGAAGCTTTCTGTTGTCCCTTTATCGCTTGGGTTTTCCATTTATTTGCAGGGTCATGCAGAACTAGACACCAGAATTGGAGCTCCAACTTATCTGAGTGGAATGATAAGGCGATACTTTCCTGATGTATGTTCCTATCCTTTCTACAATAATTTTGTTGCTTGTATATGTAGGTACATTTTCAGCTATGAGCAATCCGAGAAGTCTAACTAAGCATGTATAGACTGATTTAATTTTTATGACTAACTTATTGCTAAAAAATTAACTTGGATGCCCCCTAGGGCTTAGTTCAAGTGGTAAAGGTTGAGGAATTTTGCACTATGTGAACTAAGCTTGATATCTAAATGGAGGAGGTAGATGGGGGACCCACGAGTTTCAAATGCTACGGTTGGTCCTAAGGATTGGCCACTAACGGATTTCTCGGTCATTAAAATAACAAAAAAGTGGGTTGCTCTAGTGGTAAGCACCCTCCACTTCCAACCAAGGGGTTGTGAGTTCGAGTCACCCCAAGAGCAAGGTGGGTAGTTCTTGGAGAGAAGGAGCTGAGGGTCTATCGGAAACAGCCTCTCTACTCCAGGGTAGGGGTAAAGTCTGCGTACACACTACCCTCCTCAGACCCCACTAGTGGAATTATACTAGATTTTTGTTGTTGTTGTTGTTGTAAAATAACAAAAAAGCTAACTTGGCTCACTGTCCCTTACCTTCAACATTGACCACAAACAAATAACTAGGGCCAACTGTTTAGCATTCTATTGATTCTTGTGCTTCAGTGCACATAGCGTGACAAGTCCCCAGCTTTGATTTGATATCCGACGTACCAGCTGGAGACCAGAGAAAGCATTTTGAATAGACCAGTGTTCATTTCATACGCTAAAATGAAGCAGTTGTGTAATGACATCATACACGTCTTTTTACCTGAAAAAAATGGTGTAGATACAGAACAATAATGTGATTCGTTGTAGTGAATAGACAAGCTTGGGTTCCAGCACAAGCCGAAATGGAGACATCATTGAGGGTGAATTCGATCAAACTAACCCCCATTCCCGTCACCCCAAGAACAGGGGAAAAAGGAAAGAATAGATGGCAGTAAATGAAGAATTCTCTCGATTTCGAATTGAGTGTTATGATTTGCTCTTTAAAAGTCAACCTTCATAATATATTCAAGAACGTTCAACTTGAGAATATAATAAGCTAAGCGTTCGGTGATGTTATAAAGCTAATATAAAAAAAATAACTGGTCTACATGAAGTTTGACATTCAACTTGAAATAGCTGGTCTACATGAAAATTTTGTTACTGTATCTCGGGGGAATTGACATGCTTTTGAACTTGTAGCAATACGCCAGCCTCGCTGTTGGAGTGCAGTATTATAGGCGTCAAAAGCTCTGGTATAATATTCGTGGTAAAAAGGCATTTCCAGTGACTGCAGATGAGCGGTCACTACACTTTCATATCAAGGGCAAGTACGATGTGGATGAGAAACTTCTGGAGGTTGGTAACCATTCGAAATCTTTGTCTGCACATGAGTGAAACCATTGGTGATTGAAAACTGATCATGTTGATTCTATTAAGTCATTTTACGCTATCATTGGCAGACTACAAATTTCACGTATGCCTGTGAAATGAAGCTGGCTCAATGAGTAAATCCTTACTGAGTGTATCTACGCTAAGCTAACCCAAACAATGATTAAAGGAGTTTTTTTTTTCTTTTCTTGATAAGTAATCAAAGATTTTATAAATGCTTGCACCAAGCCAGTGCGAGAAAAAAGGAGTTTGGTTTTGAGTTAAATGTCAGAACGAGTAATCCCATTGGCATTTCAAGTATATTCATATTAATGCAGTCTTATGTACATAAATCTCAATGGATGTTCTTAAGTTCGCTTGAAGATGAAATTCTAATCAAATTGTGATGGTATCTATTTCTGAACTAGGCCATATATCATCATATTAAGTTTATGGATGCTCTCTTTGTAATGATCTATCTTTGCCAGCTTTGGAATAAACTGGGCCCGAATATATAGAGCAAAATAGATATAAAAAAATGGAAAAGGTCCAAATATGCCCTTGTACTATACGAAATTGAACACATTTGCCCTTCGTTAATACTTTAGCTCAAATATGCCCTTACCATCACATAGTTGGTCCATATATGCCCTCAGAGTTACACAGTTGGCCCATATATGCCTTTTTCGAAACGGAATCCACCCAAACTAATTAGCTCTTTCGTTAATTGTATTAAAGTGTATTACAAACACTATTTCCTTTTTATTAGTACTTTTTTTCTTTACCTTTCTCTTTTTTTTTTTCCTTTTTCTTTCTCCCTTATCTGATTTCCTCCATTACTGATGTCTTTTCCATTTTCGTCACCAATTTCACTTGACAAAACTCATGAATTCCAATTACTAAGAAAATTCTCCAATAAGAATATTTTTATAGATCATGTGTTTGTCAATTTTTTTAATTTTTACTGAAAATATATTTAGTTCTAAAAAATTTAACAAAGTAAGATTGAAATAATATTTATGTAACAAAAAATCCGAAAAATCCAACAAAACCGAACAATCTAAACGGATATAATTGGTTTGGCTTGGTTTTGATAAAAACCGAACCAACTCGTTCCATGTACACCCCTAATTTACATAGTTAATAAAAAAAATAGAAAAAAGATGAAAAAAGACTAACAACTCAAATTTATAACACTACAACTTGAACTTTAGGCTTTTAATCATTAAATTATCTTTCTGAAAATAATTTAAATATTTTGGTCTTTTGAGTATTGTTAAAGGTTGAGATGTTTTTATTATTTTAAAGTTTAAACCATAATTTTTGGAACAATTTAATTTCGTTTATTTAGAGGGCCAGTGAAATTGGAACTTGATTACCTTATGGGAGAATTTTCTTAGTAATTAGAATTTATGAGTTTTGTCAAGTGAAATTGATGACGAAAATGGAGAAGACATCAGTAATGGAGGAAATCGGATAAGGGAGAAAGAAAAAGGGAAAAAAAGAGAAGAAAAGAAAAAAGAAAGAAAAGAGAAAGGTAAAATAAAAAAAGTACTAATAAAAAGGAAATAGTATTTGTAATATACTTTAATACAATTAACGAAAGAGCTAATTAGTTTGGGTCAATTTCTTTTCGAAAAGGGCATATATGGGTCAACTGTGTAACTCTAAGGGCATATATGGACCAACTATGTGACGGTAAGGGCATATTTGAGCTAAAGCATTAACGAAGGGCAAATGTGGTCAATTTCGTATAGTATAAGGGCGTATTTGGACCTTTGCCCTATAAAAAATCTATATATCTAAATCCAACTAGCTTAGGATGGAGGCATAGTTGATTGATATTCTGATTTTTTTCTTGGCATTTAGCATGTTGGTTGATATTCTGATTTATCTTGGCATGTTACTTAAATCTTTGAGTAACAGTCTCACCGAGACCTTCATACTGTGCTTATTTCAAAACTTCCAGAAAAAATCAAGAGTTGCTGCTGAATTTACTTGGAACATCATGAATGTGAAAAAAGACCAAGATGTGAGGCTCAAAGTTGGATATGAAGTCATTGAAAAGGTAAATCATTATCCTAATCTGCAAGTAGCATATTGTCCATCCATCTCCATCTTTAACCAAATGATAACCTTGAAATGAAAATGGAGATTGGCTTGTGAAAATGGTCATCCTGAGCTTCTCTAGCTCTCATTCATAAATGTATGGCATTGTATTGTACCTTCACATCTCGTAAATGAATGTATAAGATATAGTTTTGGTACTACTTATTAAAAGAAAAAAATGATATAGTTCTGATACTGGAAAGTGCACTGTCCATGTTGCTTGCACAAGCGTTCGCTGATGTTATAAAGCTAATATAAAAAAAAATACAAAATCATATTGAAGTGGGTAGAACTTAATATTCATGTTTATTACCCAACAAATTTAAGTTTCTTAAGTTGTCAAACGTTCTCCTGCTGATAATTGCAGAAGCTTAACAAAGTAAGGGTCTTCCTACTATGTTACCTGCATTTTGAAGTTCTTTTTGATTCTCCTTTTTTTTCTTTTCAGGTTCCTTACTTTCAGATCAGAGAAAACAACTGGACACTCAATGTCAACAATAGTGGGAAATGGAAAGTGAGATATGACTTATGATACTAGTGATGGACATGTAACTTGTTTCACTGAGAGGGTTATAATAAAACAACAACAACATACACAGTATTATCCCACACTGTGATAATGCAAGAAAGTAGAAAATCATCACAATTCATCCTTTTGACATGGTATCATTGCAAAAAGGCATTACCTTATAGGATTTGCTTTTGAGTATTGTCTCCAGAGATAGTTACCCAATTCAATTCAAAGTTAGATTTCCCATGCGCACTTTAGAGACGTTGGCTCGAATAGTGTGAAGTTGAAGCTGATATGTATGAGATCAGGAACTATGTTTCCGCACTTCATTCTGTAGCTAAGTTTTATTGTTATTATTATTACTTAACATCAAATCTGCGTTTAGAGGTGCTTTATTTTAGAAGTTCTTATTTGTTTAAATCATTAGACATCCTATTGTCTTCTGTAAAGTAGTCATATCCACAGGTGATATTCATTAGAATCTCTTGTATTCCACCTATGGAAATTGTCTCAAGTTGTAGTTTAACCACTCCCTCCAGTAATGAATCTGCGTAGTTGATGGAACAAGTAAGTACGAAAATCTATTGACTTCAAATCAATAAATTGTGTCAAACTGCTGGTAAATATGATCCTTCTTTTGTGGTTGTTGTTTGAAGAATCCAGAACCCATTTGTGGTTCTTTTGGACAAGTTTGACGGAAATGTGTGTTTAAAAAAAAGAGTGACATTTCTATAAAAGAGCGCTATACTTTAACGGAGTTTTGGCCGTTATAACGCCACTATAAACCGTGCTATACAGGGTTGATAAGACAGCTATGCATAGCGCGGTATATAACCGCGCTATACTCGTTTTGTGGGCCCACAAATAAGTCTCCTGCATTTAATTGACATAACAATAATTCAAATGAGTATAGCGCTCTTTAAAAGAGCGCTATACCATAAAAAATTTAGCCCCCCGAGCTAGGCATTGCCTTATTTAAAGGCGTTAGGATTTTACAAAATCCATTCAAAAATATTCCTAACTCGTTCAAATTTTTCTTCTTTGTTAAATTCTCAAGCATTTTTTCATAATGTCTGAAGAGCGAAAAGTAAGGGTTTCATTATATCGGGGGGGNGTTATACCTATAAAAAAAAAAATCAGTCTACCGAGGTAGGCATTGCCTTATTTAAAGGCGTTAGGATTTTACAAAAATTCATTCAAAAATATTCCTAACTCTTGTTCAAATTTTTCTTCTTGTTAAATTCTCAAGTATTTTTTCATAATGTCTGAAGAGCGAAAAGTAGGGGTTTCATTATATTTGGTGGGGGTGGGGGTGAGGTTGTGGTGGCGAATAACTCTGTGAGCTATAGTTTATCTTCACAGTGTCATGTTAAGTTGCCACTTACAATGGAGTACAATAGATTGGTATCGTTGTTATGTAATAAAATGAGTGTGAGGAAACGTTCGGTGAACCTTAAAGTAACTGGAAGATATCTGTATTCCGTCACTCCGCAAGGGGTTGCTTGTTACCCTGAGTTTAACATCGACGATGATGAAACTTTGAGGGATTTTTTGAGGACTCCGGATGAATACCGGGAATTTCTTGTGATAAAAATGTTGGAAATATACGTCAATGTCGAAGACGTTCGCAATAATGAGGTTGCGCCTTTAAAATTATCACCATGGGCGAATGAGGAGCGTGGAAATAATTTCTCTCCTGCTTTACATAATCCATAAGACGAGTGGTAAACTTTAATTTTCCTTAGTGTTACGATGTATATTTTTGTTGTATTGAATTTGTATTAACGCTCATATATTCCATAGGGGGTACCAGCCAGATATGACTTTTACAAGTTATGAATCCATGCCCAGTTGGATTATGCGTAGTTCTGGTGTGTTGGATCATGGTGGTCCATCCGGGGGTCATCACCAACAGGATAATGTCCATCAAGGAATGTCAACACGTTACGACTTGTAAGTGAAGTGATACATCTATATGAAAAGTATTTATTAATTTCAGTAGCTTATTATTTTGGTGTTTGTGCAGTGAAAACGAGCAAGTTGAACCACCTGTCCTCACTCAATTGAATATATATAGCGCGGTTAAATACTATGTTATGTGTATTGTCTTGTCGAACTGAAAAGCTGCCTGTCTGGGAAAAAGTTATTTTGTATCCGAAAGAATCTTTAACACGCAAAGCATAGCGCAGTTAATTACTACGTTATGTGAATATATATAGCGCGGTTAAATACTACGTTATGTGTGTTGCCTTGTCTATAAATAACGGGCTCATTCTAGTTATTTTCTGTGCTTAACAATAACCAATAGCAAAACTTTTCATAAAAGCAAGTTTTTTTTTACGCTTTAATAAATGTCTGAACGCCTTTATGTATCAAGGTGCCAGTGCGGCAAAAAATGTTCGATGAATGTATGTTGGGATGATGGTGAAGTTGGACGCCGCTACTGGATGTGTGTGAACAAATTTTATAGGGTTCCCGATGAACCTTTTTGCAATTTTGAGGTATGGATTGATGAACCATGTAAGCAGGAATGCTACAAACGATCTTTGCAGTATCTTCATGATTTGACCTTAAAACAGTGTGAATATGAAAAAGAATATAAACGAGAAATTGCGGAGTTGTAGGAGAAACTGAAAGAGGCAAAATTAGAAAAAAATAAGATGGAAGAGAAATTTAAGTGGTTGGAACAGAGAATAATGGGCGGCAGTGACTAAACAATGACATGTATGTGCTGAGTGTACTACTTTATCTTTATGTTTTCAGTGTCATGTATTTTCATTAGTTGTACTGAATTTAAATTATATTAAGTTGCTATGTTTTGTGTTGTAGTATTAAAATAAAGAAGGAACGAGGAAATAAAAACATAATGCGCATATTATGTAAACATAAAAAATTATTGTTATTATTTACATAAAAAAATATTTACATAAAATACAAAAAAGAAAAAATCAATGTGTCCCACAACCTGTGTGCTTCAATGCAGCCGCTGTCCTGAGCCGCATCCCATCCTGCCCGGCTACGCTATCAGTATCATCCTCATCACGACGCCTCTTTATAGCAGGATGCGCTGCAGCATGATCATTAGTGGTGCTGGCAGGATCGATAGAAGGGGTCGTCGGTCCAGTAGAAACCTATAGAAGAATAAGTCAGCTCAGTATAGTAAAGTATATATTAAGTCACAACAATTTAAATTGTCTTACCATGGTCTCGTCGGGCTCCTGAATATAATCATCCGTCGCAGCCATGTCAGCATCGCACAAATGGGCCTCCGTGACGGGTAGAGATGAAGCCTTAATACGAAAATTAATAAAGTTATGGAAAATAAATGAGAAAAGAAAAAACAAATTTAAATTTAATACTAATACAAACATACCTGCGCATGTGATGATGAGCCATAACTCAGCCGGCGCCCACTATCCAAATCTCGGGTCGGCCGATCCTCAGCAGCGGTCGATGAGCCTGGGAAGTATGCTCCTTTCCGGTAAGTCTGTATGACGGCATGCTGCTGGGATACTCGTCCGGCTCATGTAGGTCACCCGGCAGATCAGCATCAACATCATCAACAGGGGCCTCAATGCCCCCTTGCTGGGGAGCACCTCCTCGCCGCCCACCACGACCCCGTGCGGCAGCCCTGCCTCGTGGGGCACTCCCATCTCGAGGGGCATCCCTGCCTCGTGGGGCACCCCCACCTCGAGTGGCACCCCTGTCTCGTGGGGCACCCCTACCTCGTGCGACATCCCTACCTCGCTGGTACTGCTCTGGCGCCACTTAAGCAGGATCGTGTCCCAAGCATTGATCCTCTCGAGGTCACTGCAGTGTCCGGGCAGCCACCTCTGCAACTTGCCGGCCGTAATCGTGCAAAGCGGCCGCTCCCTCGCCGACATGCTGCTGCATCTGGAGTCCCATCTGGTAGACTATATATAGGACAATAGCCTGCACAACATATAAAATATAAACTACAGAACACTAAGTTACAGTTATATAATTAATAATAACATAAAACATACGAGGGCCTCGTGCCGCCCGGCGTATGGAACGTACCGACCGCCAGCTTGATGGCGGTACCAGGGCATATTGAGCTGAATAGTCTCCGTCTGGATCTGTGATGGGGGGGGG